AGAAAGAAAGAAAGAAAGAAAGAAAGAAAGAAAGAAAGAAAGAAAGAAAGAAAGAAAGAAAGAAAGAAAGAAAGAAAGAAAGAAAGAAAAAGAAAGGTTAATTTAAAGTGTAACTTACTGGGTGACTGAATAAACATTGTGTTAACACAAGGAATGAAGCAGCAGGAGAGTGCAAAGTGGTGACTGGTGATGGGAAGTGAGGACTATTTTATTCTGTGGAAATACTGGCTGAAAATGACAGTTGAATTATAGTATAGCTTTATTCTGGTTTGAATATTGGCTGTCCTCCCACAGTCCCACTGTAAATCTGGTATGATAAAACCCTGTATCAACATATGCTAGCTAATTTAACAGAAGTGTGTGCATAAATCCACTCCTGCTCTAGGTAAACTAGAACAATATGTGACCTGGTAATGCACAGGGCTGATACAGGTGGTTTTGCAGCCTCAGACTTTCTTTGTAATCAGTGCCTTCAGAGATCAGGAGCTTCAGCCACACATTTTGCAGTGGACTCTGCCCCTCTGCATGCACTGGGCATTTGGATGAACTGAGCATCCTGCCTGCAGTTTTGTCTGGAATCCTGTGCTGTTGCTCTGGAGTCCCCGTAATCCATTAATGTCTTAATGACAAGTGATACACAGATTCAATGCAAAGAATAAATATTGAAGTTTGGTTTTTTCTTATGCACATATTTGTCACAAAGTCATTCTTTTGGAAGAACATTTAGATTCCATCCCTAAAGCATCATGGAAAAAATTTTTAAACTAGGATAGTATATAGCTGGCTTAATTTCAAATGCTAATTCCGTTTCATTTAAGATCTTGTCAAGCTAATTCTTTGAGTAAGTTACAGTGAGTAAAGAAGAAATCTAAAATCTAAATCTAAATATCCATATAATAATAGAGTTGTCAGAATGATTGGTTTATGAAAGTGAGCAGTCTTCCTGACATTCCTAGACATACCATTCACTTTGTTTTTTTCTCTCTCATTCTTGCATCATTACACGATTTCTGCAATGCTGAGAAAAAAGACCTAGTTTTTTTCTGAAGAACAAACACATTACAATCCTCATACCTTATAAAATGGACATAAATATAGGTCTGGTGGCAAATAGCTTTGGGGTATTTAAATCATATTTGCTGCTTAAATTTAAATACATTCTAGCGATCTAGCACTCTGCTGACCTCTGGATAAAAAATACCTCTGTCTGAGTATACCTTATTCCCAATATTGTGAACAATCACTTGGCTGTTTCTTACAATTTTGCTTTCACCATAATGCTCTACTTTGATTTCCTCCTATTTTTCATCCTGACATACACACATACTAATGGTTGTTAATATCCTTTCTAGAAAATGGTTCCTGGTTACATTGCTCTTCAGGTAATAGCTAGGGGTAGGCAGGCAAGGGATCATAAAAATACAATCTTTAATCTTAAGGACTTCCTGTTCAGGAAGGACTAAGTGCAGACCAAATGGCACCAAGCAAACAATGTGACCTGCTCTGACTTTTAATGTGAATAAACAAGTCTGATTAAGAGTTATTCACTGCTAGGTATTCTCAGCAATTCTGAAAGAAAAATAGTAGCTCTGCTAACACTAAAATTTCATTTGTTTCCAACAGAATCAAATAAGCTCTGTTCACTGGAGAACTGGAGTGTTGAATTTCCTCTTCCTGGTTAAAGGAACAGAGTAATACCTCCCACTCCCTAACACTTACACCTCATGCCCTCTCTCTTTGATGGATATGGAAGCACACTGCTTTCAGCTTCCAGCATGAGGTGTACTCACAGAACCCGGCTACTACTGTAACCACCTTGGAAAGACCCTCCTTTGGAAGCTCCTCCTCTAGAAGTGTCATGTGAAGAGCTGGATCTTTAAACTTCAAGCCAGGTTTTTTTTTTTGTTTTTTTTTTTTGTTTGTTTGTTTTTTTGGTTTTTTTTGGTTTTTTTGTTTGTTCATTTTTTTTTCTGAGTCACTGAACTTTGCCGCATATAATGCTGTGTGTTTTGTTTGGAAATCAGCTGAAGACATTAGGTCTCGTTCCTGATGCACTCTTGAGGTGATGAGTGGCTGGTTTTTTTTGCCAAGGAAAAGCTGGGTAGTATGAGGAGAAATCTCTACTTTTGTCCTGAATAATGCATAGGCTGTGTTAATTTCTGCTAACAAAAATATGAATTCCTGCTGTATGATTATGGTATTTTATGAGGTTTTTTTATATCTGGGTTTTCAAAGGAAGCAATAAAATGTGGACAAATCTTTATCACAATACTGATTTCATGCCTCACTGACAGTTAAGGATAGGTAGAATATTAAAAAATAATTTGATCCCATGATTTAATTTTATAGAGCTATCTTTCTAACCAACTGCTGGTTAACCCATCAGTAAAGAACTTAAATTGCTCAACATTTAGCTAAAACATTCAAATACAGTGCTTTTTATTCATACTGTCTTTCATTCAGGATAAAGTATAAAATTTCTTTTCCCTTTTTAGCTCAAGTCTCTCCTGACAACATGACACATCTTGGAAATATGGTGACACTATATTTTTTACATAGATTATTAAGATTATTAAGTTCTACCCCCACTGCCCCGATTTTATTGTAAATTACAGGGTTGCATGTATGTTCAAAGAATTTCTGAAATTCCTCTGTGCGAGGGTTGTGCCAGTGTTATTGCTTAGCTATCTTGCTGTATTTCAGACTACAAAATAACCAGGAAGGCAGCTACTTTTCAGCCTGCAATGGATTTTGTTAAAAAAAAAAAAAAAAGCAACTAGTTTTCAACAGGAAAAAGAAAATCACAACAAACCCAGCTAAGAAACTCAAAAAGTAAATTCCTCAGAATTAAAGCTGTATAGAAGACTTTAAGGCTGCTACAATATATGCCAATTTGCAGGCATAATTCAGGCATGCTTTGGTCATTCAGGGCTGCACACACTTCTCAGAGTAGGATTGGATTCACAGTTACTTTGAAATCCCTTGGTTTTTAAGGGATTAAATGGAACTTAGACTTCCATAAAAATATATTCCCAAATTTCCCTGCTCTCAATCACTTGTACAGCAAAGAGCACTAGACTTTGTAAAAATTCTGGGTTTTTGTTTGTTTTTGTTTTTGCTTCTTTTTTTTTTTGTTTTGTTTTGTTTTGTTTTTTTTAGTTAATTTGAAAGGCCTAAACAGGTAAATTCACAGTCCATACATACCATAGTTTTCATGGTAATAGACAGTTTCAGGGACTTAAATACAATCTGTGTTTTTACATTTCACTAATTTTGAATATTCCCAGGTTTACTAGGTACTTTCAAACCTGATTATTTTCTCAGTGAAATGGAGGGATGTTAGTAGAGAAAAGGACGAAAAGAGCTTAACTTAGCTTTCAGAATTAGGCTCCCACCACTGTTACTCGAGCTGCTTTGCTTTTTTTCTCCTGTGTGTTTCATGTTAGCCAAAACCAGATTATTTTAAAAACAGACTGTCCTTGTACAAGTGTTCCTTTATACACTGAAAGTTTCTTCCTCTCAGTTTGGGAAAGCCAAGACAATGCTTACGAGAAAAGAGTGAGTTAATCTGTGTGTTTTCTTATTTGGTTGGTTTTTGTGAGTTTTTGTGATTTTTGTTTTAAATTTTTCTTTCTTTTTTTACAAATAGATTGCTGTAAACAAGAGGTAACCATAGTGCCTCTGATAGGGAATGTGTATTCACAGGGCAGAATAGATTTGGTCAGACTTAACAAGACGCAAGGCAATTTTAAGACTTTGAAATTAACTCAGTGGATGAGTTTTACTTCACATAAACAGAAGAAATCTTTCCCATGCAAACCACTGTCCTGATGCTTTAGAGAAACAGGAAGCAATTTTCACAGCTCATTCACACAACCAATGAAATGTGAAATAGGTTCCATGGTTAGGTGACAATCCTGGATGTTCCCTCTATCTCTGGGTAAGGCAATCTTATTTCTAGGGCATTAGGGTAAGGAGATAAACAGAGAGGAAAAAGTATTTATTAAGACCAATGTTACTGTCTGAATAATAGAGGGAAAATGAAGAATTACCAACAGGTCTATATTTTTATTTACATCTAAAAACTGTTACAGAACAGCTGTATTGCCAAACAAACTAACAAAACAATTGTTTTGTTTCATCCAGAATCTGAACAAGTAATTTGATGTAAAATCAGTGGACATAGATATAGCATAGAAGATTATGACAGTTATCACCTTCTGTATAGGAGAGATAATCAGAGGACTATAAAACTTCATGCAAAAACAGAGGTTGTTGCTAGTGCCACTACAATGTATAAATAAGGTGGAAAAAATACATCTCTTCTTACCAGAAGTTCATTGACTTAAATGAGGCAACACAAATGCACAGAACAATCACAGGATGAAAGATAATTACATTTTAAAAATTGTTCCCCCCCCTCTCTGCCCTTATAGTCAGTTTGATTGACACTTAATAGTTAAGCCAGTCCATTTGTTTCTTAAGAGTGAAGTTCCCACAGCAAAAAAACACACAACACAATAGTCTGTGCTGGAGTCTTGTGGGCAAGTGCAGCTAGCATGGAGTAGCTCTGATGAGTCTATTGAAAAAGCAGCTGTTTCTGCCTTCACTTCTGACCTGGTAGTGCACTCCAGTTATAGCTGTGTTCAACACCCTTTCACTTCTTACTCAGAGCTGCTTGTCATTCAGTGGGACAGAAACAAAATCTTTACATTGGTTTTAAACTACCTCAAGAAGCAGATGCAGCAATTACCTTTAAAAGCAATAGCTAGAGGGACCCTGAATGGTGGATGGTTTTTATTATTGCTGTCTGTCCAGGGAGCACTTTTATTGCTGGCAGTCAGTGTTAGATCTTCAATAGCAGTTGATCATTTTTGCTTCAGGCTTTTGTGTGTCCATATGGCCACGCGTGGAGAGTGCAAAGATGTACTGGGTTTGCGTGGCAAGGTTTTGGTAGTGGGGGGCTGCAGGGGTGGCTACTGTGATAAGCTGCCAGAAGTTTTCTCATGCCTAAAGGAGCCAATGCCAGCCAGCCCCACGATGGACCTGCCTCTGGCCAAGCCCGAGCCCGTCAGCAATGGCTGTAGTTCCTCTGGTACTTGTTAAATAGATTTAACAAGGGGAAAAACTGCAACAGCAACGACACCTGGAAAAAGAAGTGAGACTACGTAAAAGAGAAAACTCTGCAGACACCAAGGTCAGTAAAGAAGGAGGGGGAGGAGCTGCTGCAGGTGTTGGAGCTGAGATTCCTCTGCAGCTCATGGTGAAGACCATGGAGAGGCAGCTCTGGCTCTGCAGCCCATGGAGGTTCACAGTGGAGCATATACTCAGCCTGTGGAGTGTGTCAGAGCAGGGGGAAGCCCAAAGGAAGTTGTGACCCCCATGGGAAGCCTGTGGTGCAGCAGAGTCCTGGCAGGAAGAGAGGAGCCTGCACTGGAGCAGGTTTGCTGTCTGGACTCATGACCCTCGGGTTGCCCATGCTGGTGTAGCCTGTTGCTAAGAGACTGCACTTTGTGGTAAGGACACACACAGGAGTTCATGAAGAGCTGCAGTCCATGGGAAGAGCTCATGTTGGAAAAGTTTGTGAAGAACTTCCATCTACAGGAAGGAACTCACTTTGGAGCAGGGGGAGAGTGTGAGGAGTCCTCCCCCTGAGAAGAAAGGAGAGAGAGAAATGAGGTGTGATGAGTTGAGCAAAGTCCCCGTTCTCTGTCCCCCTCTGCTGATGGGGGGAAGAAGGTAGAGAAAACCAGGACTGAAATTGAGCCTGGGAAGGAGGGAGTGATAGAAGGGTTTGGTAAGCACCTGGTGTCCAGCCAAGCTCAACCCTTGACAAAAGAACAAATTTTGCTACTAAAGAACTAGTTTTTGTCTCGCCTTTTAATTCTACGTTATGGTCCATTGTGTGCATACTGCAAAATGAGAAAACAATGTGATTAATCCATAAATGGTAGCCAAACTGAAGGAGTGCCTCAATCAAATACTACATCTCTGGACTCAAAATTATTAACATGGCAATTATAGAAAGTCTACAGAATTGCTGACGCAGACGGCTTGGGAAATAATGTATGGTTACCAAAGTATAAAATGATCCCAAATAGTTACACAAAGGGTGGTACAGACTTTTTCACTTGTTAAATTTGTGTATACAATTGTTAGAGCTCAAAATGATAGGCTTATAAAAGTAGGACAGGTATTAACAAGTGTACAACATTTTTCCTTTAGCAATATAGTTATTATGGGGTTTTAGGTAGTCAAGTATTCACTGAATACTTGTATTCACAACATACTCACTTGAAGTGATGATTTCTTTTGGAAGCTTTCATAGATAAAAAATTTTCATGTTCATGACCCATATGTTCTCAGATTCAAACATTTTGACTGTTAGTTTTTCAAGTGGCAGTAAGCACCTAAGGACTAAAAGATTCAGGACTGCTAATATTAAATACAGAATAAATTTGGTGATAATTAAGACACATGTAATTAGATTAAATTGAGATTTCTCAGGTATGCAAATGGCTGTTTGTGTTGTACTATAATTAGCTTTGTCAATGCTCATTGTTAAGAACTATGCTATATCTTTTTATTTTAATAGTTTTGGAGGAGTTTATAGAATTTTTATGTAAAATCTAGTTGATTTGTTTTGGGGTATTATGCAAGGCTTACCTGCTAAAATTATGTGAGTGTTGCGTTATTAATCAAAGCCCAGTTCTCTAGGAATTTCCAGGAACAAAAATCCAATCCACAGCCCCAGACTACACTGTTTATTTTATTCTGTGGCTGATCTTATAAACTGTAACTCATAAAATACCTACTCCAAAGAGCTGATCATCCCAATGTTATTGTTTTTCTTATTTATCCTTAGCTACAACCTAAAATAAAAGGACATATGCTGTAAAGGTGAACAGTCGAGAGAAACTCAATAATGACCTATGTATCAGGGTTGAAACAATGACAAATAGTTATTTCTGGAAACACATTACCTTGCAGATGTTCAAACCAGCCATAGGTGTAGCATTATCTTGAGTTACCTGTGACTGTGGAAGAGATCTCTTTATAAACAGAAAACCATCTTTTTCTTTCAGAAAATAGTAGTTTTGAGAATGAGCTTCTTGGAAAATAATTTACTGAGGAACAGATGGGATCTCCCCAGTTATGTACTGAATCTTTATATATATTACTTAAACTGCAGTTAATTTTGCTCTTTCAGAAATGTTGCTTCCTGAATTGAAATATTCAGATCACTCAAGCCTGGTGAAGCAATGTTGTAAGAAGGAACTGAGAGCAAGCTGTGAAGACTCAGAGGTTGCAAAGCTGTTAGAGGGAGAGAATCCTGTGGGGTGTTCTTTTCCATGCAGATGTGCAACATACACTTGTGACTGAATCAAGGTATCTTTACAAATAACCTAGTTTCCAGATGTTAGAATACAGTAGTTGGTTTTGCAGTGTAGTGAAAACCAAAAAAATTTGGTAGTGGCCCACATATTGCACATATTTACAGAAACTGAACCAGAGACACGAGAGACACCAGCCTGTGTTCTCTACCAAATCCCAAATAGGCCATAGGATTTTAGACAAATTAATGCTTTTTTTGGAATTTCTTTGAATTATATTTGTCACAGTGATGCTTAGTAGGCATTGCTTATGAAGACACATAACTTGAATTAAATAAATAAAGAATTAAATAAACATTAAATTTGTAGAACTAAAATTTCTTGTAGTAGAGTCACTGAAAGCATATGTGAAGAGTGAGAGAAGATTAGCTGAGCTATTAATGGCTTGGTGCTATATTATTCTTTTGAGTTTCTGGAAGTTAGATTGATAAATATTATTCCCCTGTAAGTTACACCCAGTTTCCAAAATTTTGCATTTTTCAGGAGGTGATGCCAAGCAGTAAGCTTTCCCTAATTTATTATGTTTAATGTGCAACTTACTGCATTTTGTAGTGATGAACTTTACTTGGGCACTCAGTTTAAATAACTGCGTGTTTCAAAAATCAGGACCCTGCTGTTTAGCTGGTAGATATAAGAGAGGACTGATTTAATTTTAAAGAAGTTGTATTACTTTAACTAGCTAGAGGTTTGGTCTGTGGGGGTTTTTTTGTACTGTAATAATGTTCATCAGCTCAAGCAACTTCCAATTGTGTGAGAACAGCTCAAAACAATTAGCTATACAGTGTTCCTGCCTTAAAAGTCTGTACCTCTAGATAAGCAAGAAAGTTTAAAAAAATACAAAACCAGGCATCTGGATTTTTCAACTGTTAAGAGTACAGGCTGTGGCTATGATAAGAAAATGAAATTCTCAAGGTAATTTGGAAGCTAATAAATCAGATTTTTTTTTTTCTTGCAGGTTGTTCTCAATGGCGTATTAATACCTCTGTAACATGCAGCTCCATTTCTTTCCTCTCAGAAATTACATTGGCAAGATGACCCTTTCCTCTCCTGTGGAGCTTGACTGACAGGCTGCTGCCAAAGAAGGAAAATGATTTTCAAAGTCTGACCTAAGTAAAACCATTGCTTGCACTCTCACTGGACTTTTGTTGCTTCAGGTGTTACAGGAAAAATAAATCAACTCAACTGCTCTGGTTCTTAATAAGAGTATTATTAAGATCCCCAAGCATAGCTGATACTGCTCTTCCAAACAAACCAAGGAACTCCATTCATTTATTGATGCTCTCTCCATGAAGGGATTATGTTTCACTTTGTTTGAAGGACCTGAGAGCCCTTATTATTTTTGTTTGCAGAAACACTGTGGTGCACATGAAAGGGACACAGAGGAAAAAAACCTTTTTTTTTTTTTTTTTTTTTTTGTTGGGGGGAGAATGGCTGGCAGTTGATTGCCTTTTTTTTTTTTTCTTTTCCATTTGAAAAAGCTTCTTGGATGATTGATTTCTGATTTAGATTACCACATCCTCCCTGTTGTTCCCTGCTCTGTTTACTGAAATTTTCTATCTGCCTTGCTCAGCTGACATTCAGGATATTGATAAGGTTAAAGATAATGACTGAGTTGATTTAGAGGCCAGGTAGGACTCCAAGTCTATGGTATTTTGATATAGTCTTTCTTTTCTGTCATCCAGTAAAGACAAATATTTACTTAGAATTAAAAAAAAAAAAGAAAAGACAAAATACAAAACCATGAAAAAAAAATCACCCTCTCTCTTTTATATTTCCTTTCCCTGTAGCTTCCATAAGTCCTTGTACAACAATGCTTACCATGGAAAACAATTGTAGCACTTGATGGGAAGAATGTGGCTTTTTCTGAGGCATCTCATACGTGTGGCAGAAAATCCACAAGACAGCCGTCAAATTTGTCTTTGCAAGCAAATATGCAGTTCCCGGGCTTCTCTGGTACATGCCCTTCCAGCATCCAAATACCAAGTGAAATCTGTGGGGAAGGGGTGAGAAAAGGCTTACAGGAGGTTTATGGGATCTAAGAGGCTGCAGCAATTAATCAGATTGGGTCCACTGTGCCTTCAGTGAGCCTGGTTGACTTACTAAGCCTGAAAAATTGTCCTTTCCATGTCTCTGCATGCCTGTACCCTGATTTTTCATCCCATTTTGAAAGCAACTGAATGGAATATTTATGGCCTATTCCCTTTATCTGCACTGAAGAATTGAAAAATCCAAATTAGGGGCTCCATTTATTTGGGGTTGTCAGGAAACCATTATAATAAGGAGAATGCTTTTCACACTAATACTACTGAAGTACAGTAGTTTGACTCATCTTTCTTATATCTAATTTTAACTGTACTGCTTTCCTTTGTTCTGCCTTATTTCTCAGCGTGAGTCAGCCCTGGACAAACAGTTCATGACAACTGAGCAGGATTTAATGTAACTGGAGAACGACATGTGTAGCGCAAGAAATTATAACCTTTGCACTGTTCCACCTCTGTGTCTGGCATGAAGAGGGATTTACATTTTTGCTGCATGTCAGCAAAAGCTACGGTCTGCTGACAACTGGGGAGGGCTGGGATGCTCCTGCCTCCTGGTCCTGTGTCCCCTTCAAAGGCACCCACTAGATACATCCAGCTCCGGGGATACTCCCATGCTTACTTTCTTTGTGGTGTAAATTACCTCTATGTGCAAACAAATTTGCAAGCATGGACTTGCACAGTAAAGCCTATGTTTTTATTTGATAAGTGAAGGAGATACTAATTATATCAGCTGTGTTAGATCTCCTGAAAAGGAGGTGTAAAATTTTCAATCTCTGCTGCATACTTCTAGTGACAAATAAAACCAGAAGGGAATAGATTCCATTTCAGACGGAAAATGCAATAATTTGATACATCTTTTAAGACTTCACTGAAAAAAACCCACCACTTTCTGGGTTTTGTGTACACCACTTCATTTATAGTGAAAAATGAAAGCTATAGAAATATTACTCAACTTACTAATACTCTAGGCCTGATTTTTCCTTTGTTTTCTGTGCCTTTTAATGGATATAGGTTTCATAGGTTATCATAGCTTTCTTCTGGATTTACAGTGTGTAACATAGCATAGGGATATGACTTTTGCTGCAGAGTACATTTGCATTTAAGGGAAGTCCTTACAGACAGTTATTAAGCTAAAGGTTATAGAGGAAAAAATACAGTGTCTGTTGCTTCAGCTATAATAAGACCACGGCAAAGTGGACGACAAAAGATATTTTTAGGATCTGAACTGTTTGCTTTCTTCCTGTGTCATGATTCCTGCTACTCAGACCTGATGTTTTAGACTATGTGACAAAGAGTTTTGCTTTTTTTTTTTTTTTCACTGCCATTTTTAGAGGGCTTTTTTTGCAAGGTAAGGTCAACTTATTCCTGCAGTTACCAATTTTGAAACCAACCTAGAGAAAAGCAGTAAGATATGGCAGCATTATAACCTCACTGAGATTTCTGAGGATTCTTCTAAAAATAAAAACGGGCAATTTTTTCTGCTCTCTTCTTTACAATTTTTTGACTTATAAATCCAAATGTGAGACACCTTCCCAAGTTTGGAAAGAGTGGAGGTAGATTTGACATCACTAAAAGATAGTATTACCAATAATAACAGTGATAAAAAAATAAATAAGAAAGATACTATTTCTGCTTTTCAGATGAGGTACTGCAGTGCTGAGTTTCCCTAGCAATTATTGAAAACTTCTATATTCTAATTGACATCTAATGGAATTTAAGGCACTTGAATCTCTTCCTTATGCCTTTAAAGATCATTGTAGACTGATACTGATTCAGAAGTACTAACATTCTGTTCCAACTCTTTATTCTTGATGGCAGCAAAAATATCAAAGAGACCTAGGGAAAATTACAAGGAAAATAAAGATTCTAAAATAATACATGAAATAAAGGATGTCTTTTGTATTAACACTTTAATGAAAAGTATCAGCTTTCTCAGCTAGATGTATCAATCTCTTCAAAGCTGTGACAGTCAGAACCTGTCATATCAACAGTATGAGGCTAATATACAACAGCTGTGAATCTCTCCTGAAAGAAAAAAAACCCACCCTAACACTGAAAAGTTAACTTTTTCTGCAGAAGGATGTTTAATAGACTATTGTTTAAAGACCAAGCCCTTTGTTTGAATCATATTCTGGCTTTTGTTAGAAAATATACTGTGCAAATTACCTTTCATATTGACAAACACTTAAAAGAATGTTCTAATTACTTGAACAACAATGAATCCTTTTGTTATCTATCTTCCCCTGTTTTCAAGACTGGTTGTGTTCAGACCTTATTTTTCAGACATAATTAATCTGATTTAATTGTATACCATTCAGCTGAATTTAATATAAATATAATTAAAGAAAAATAATTTCACTTTGGACTCTTTCATTATGAATATTTTGCCATCTAAAGGTTCCAGCTGATGCAGTTATCCATAGTTTTGGGTTCAAACAGGTTTTACTATTTGTTGCATTAAGTTTAACTTTCATGGATTTGGTTTTGGGCTTTTTTCATTAAGCATTAGCACAAAGAAAGAATTCACTATGAACACACAAAATAGAAAAGAGGAAAAATTCCATAAATCATGTATTTATAATGATATTATAAAAAATATGAAATTTTCCTACTAAAAAAGGGGCCATAATTTCTGATATAGGTTGAAATGATATTTTGAATAAGTAATTAATAGCTAGATTGCAGGGGTCATTGGAGATGGCACTGCATGGAGTTGTTCTGCATTAGCTGCAGGTGGATCTAGATCCTGAAGATGCTGGGGACTTCATTAAAGGATATATGACACATTTTCTGCTGTGGTTACTAACTGCTTTCATGGCTGTCACCCATTCTTTCTAGAAGTAGTGTTAAACCAGCTGATTGAAGTCCTAGTGCAATCATGTCTTTATATAGAGAATTCTATTTACTGGTAAGGTGTTGCTCCATAAATATTTGCATCAGATCCACTCAAACATTTATATGTGTTGTGCCCACTGAAGTTGAGAACCACGGGACATCTTTACAGATGAGATTGGCCAAAAAGACAACTTTTACAAAGAAAAATCTTTTATTATCCAAAAACTAATCTATGACTAATTATTATTTATAGCGTTTTCTTAAAAAAACCCAAACCAGCTGTTTTCTATAAAACACCCTTAATGAGATTTTAAATTTTTTCTTACATGGGTAGTCAGAAGATTTGAATATTCTGCAGAATTTTTTTCATTTTGGGGAAAAAAGTCTCATCATTTTCACATTAGAATAAGAATAATACAAAACTCCACCTCTCATAATTCTGTCTAAAAAGTAGGCTACATTTTAACAGAAAAATTGGTGGCTAGTACTGGCACAATGGTGGAGCAGAAAAAAGGTGGGAACACAGAGGAGATTCCTCTCTTTTTGTGTCAAAGCAGGGCTGCAAAAGGAAAACAGTGCTCTTCCTTTCATGTAGCCAGCAGTTTATAAATCAGTGAAAGGGGGTTGTGGCTATTGTATTTTCACCCTTTTTGCTGCAGTGGTTTTTCTTAGCTGCACTTAGGAAAACCCATCTGTAGGCTTCCTAAATTAGATGAAAGAAGGTGGTCTGACCCTGTGCACAGAGGATGTGATAGCACAGCATAAACCAACAGTGGAGTGATGGATAAGACTCAGAAAAACTCTCGCCTTTTGCATTTACAACCAGTAAAGTGCACTGTCAGAGAAAAAGAGATAGATGAGATGGACCACTGGTTTGATCCACAAACTTCCAAAATACTTGCAGTACGACTCTGATGTTGTAATTTTGTAACATCTGCTCTGATAAATTCACCTACTAATGGCAGGTCATAAAACCTGCACATCCTGGCAAATTACTTCTGTTATAAAAACTTTACATAAGGTTGATAACTATCGTGTGTCATATCAAGGTAACAAACTATGTGCCTAGAAAATGCATTTCAAGTGTATATCTTATGGCAAATGTAGTGCAGATGTCTGATAAGTGTTTCTGTAGGGATAAGAGAGCCTGCAACCACAACAAAGAATCTTTAAAGACAAAACTTACGAGAGTTTGGATGTTGCTTGGGAACTCGGAGCCAGATCACCCAGGACCTACTGGTAGGGGATTTTACTGATAAAAAGTGACCTTAAAATTTGGACTATAATGCATAGCAAAATATGAAAATTTTTGTAGAGATTGCAAAATATGAAGAACTTCCCACAAAATTTTGAAAAATTGTCTTACCTCAAAAAATTGTTAACTTCACACCACTTTATGCCTGTGCTCTTAAGTCCAGCCTTTCAGGGAGGCTAGAAAGTGAAACCAAAGAGATGAAAATTACTGTCCCCATTTTTAAGGCACATCTCTGACCCACAGTGCTTATTACCTTTCTACTT